TGTTTCCAAATGATGCCCACTGCAGTCTTGCATGACCACTTCAGCAAGATCCCATAAGCAGACAGACTGTATTTGTGGTCAACCTCAGGTGGAAGACACCACTCACTATCTGTTAGGCTGCACCTTATATAGAAACCAACAGATCTCTTTAAAAAAAATAATTTCTATTAGTTTTAATGAAAACAAACATCATATAAAAATAAACACTGAAAATAAAAATTTTAAATAAAAAACCAACTGTAACATTTTTCATACTCTTTATACAATATCCAAATGTGGGATTTCTCAAATCCCTTGACTTCCCCCTACCCGCTCCATGGTTCCATTATTTCATTATTATTTCATGCATGTCCAAATTGTATTCTCCATCTATTTGTATCTAATTCTGTCTTTTGTCATAAAATTGCAAATGTTGGTGGATTTCGCCAACGGAAGCAATCTCAGTAAAGAAGCCAAATATGAGAACAAAGTGGATAACATATAGAGAATTATTAATTGAAGTAGATAATCAATTAAAATTGAGAGAATACAACGAAGTAAGAGGTGAAGTAGTAAATTGGTTACAACACTTCCAGGTAAATGAATTATTTTAAAATGACAAAAAGAAAGGATTTGCTTGTGAAATCTCAAAATTCCAGAGAGAAATAATAGAATGTGGTACAAAAGTATTATCGAGAATGTACAATTTGTTGTTGGAATGGGGAACTAAGGATGAAGTGGTCAAATGTGTAATGATAAAGTGGGCTAAAGACCCAAGAGATCTCTCTTTGAAACGTTTGCTCGCCCAAGCAAACCGCCACACTCTGTCAGAAATGGTTTGGTTTATTTTGTATCTTTGTAACACAGAGAGTGGCCCTCTATGCATTGGCTGCAAGGGGTGGGGATCAGGAAAAATTGCTATAAAATGGTTGGTGATCAGAGGTTAATCTCAAACCAAGCTGGATTTGAGTTTTCTGGCGTCTCTGGTAACCTCTCTCACATCATGGTTGTTGGCAAATTGGATTTTAAAAAGGCAAAATAATATGAGAATTGGAGCTGTCAGAGATGCACAAGGGAAACTGTGTTTTAATGCTCAGGAACTTGCCAAAGTCTTTTTTATTATGGATTTTTCTATTATGGATCGTGTTCTGCATTCTTTTATTAATACCACTGCTTAATACAAGTGTGTCATAGCCTTTGGCTAGAAAAACAAACTTATGAACTGAACTACTCACTTGACTACACTTGTTGCTAACTCGTTCCAGATGTTGTTGGACTACAAAACTTATCATCCTTAACTGGCTGGGGCTGATGGGAGCCGAGAAAGAAACATCATCTGGAACATCATCAGCTGGAGGTAGGCTGCTCTTTTACTCAGACCTGAAACCGCACCAATGGGTCCCTGATCAATGTAGTCATTGCCAAATGCTTGATCAATGTCATATTTCAAACATGTAATGTTTTGCCAAAACTTCAGTGCTGAGCTCATTGAACAAAAGTACAACATTAAAATATGTTTGTAACCTGTTTCCAAATGCCATGTTCTGCCCACCCGCCCCCCTCCAATACAAGGCCGTGGTTGCTAATGTCCATATGCATTAGAAATGTTACTGTACTATCCTTGGAAGTGGTTCAACCACATTTATTGCTTGGGCCATTAAATGGCATTTAGGAGTGGGGGAGGGTGGGGGAGAGAGAAACTAGGTTAAAAGGGAGCATATCCTGTAATTCAGCTAAATCATTCAAGTATATAGCTGGAGTTGGGACACTAGGAGTTAAAAATAGATTGTGGATTAAATATTAATGCAAAATAAGAATGTAAACAGAAAGTATAAGATGTGTTGATGTATTTCATTTCATTAGGCATAGAAAGTTGAAAGCATCTCTTTGGAACCTAGATCATTTTAATAAAATAATCTAGCAGATTACAGAACACTGAATTTGCTTCATCTCGGGGGTCATGTCAAGACAAAGTTTGGTTTTCATTTTGCCTCTAACAAAAGAAAGCAGCCTAGTGAAAAATATCTACAGCTGTGGCTCAATTTGACCCAGAGCTTGTGCCTTGGAACCAGCGTAAAATACCACCAACACATGACCTTAAAAAATACTAAACAATAAGATGATTGCCTTTACATATGAGCAGAGTACCCTGCCCTCATTACGATGAATATAATCATCCCCCCTACACACACATCTGAGAGTAGGAGGAAGGGCTTCCTGGTCACAGAGCTGGGCTTCTAGTGAGTCACACCACCTCTCCTGTGAGAAATTAATCAGTAACAAAAGTTGAAGAAATAACATTTAGAACTGTAATGTTCTATGCGATAGATGTTGATCAAGCAAGGTTGGAATAGCAAATGCCCAGCTGCTTGAACTGGAACCAATTCAAAACTCCATCCAATTCTCAAAATAAGACACATGACCATTAAATAACACTGTACAGTAGACTGATTTGGCACTGCACCATTACTCCTGCTGCCCCCAATATAAACTCAGTCTAGCTGTAGGGTGGAGGGGGAAATGTGACACTTGCTGAACTTCAGCGTAATCTTGTTTTGCAATGCATTATCCACAGCACATTTATCTCTATCTATCTTTGGGAACAAAGATGACATCTGCCACAGAATGGCTTACATTTGTCTGACTGCTGCTTTCAATGTCATGTATCTGACACAAGTTAACCTTTCTTATAAAATCTAATGGAAGGGAAGAGAATTTCTCATCTGAAATGCCCTTACTGCTACTCTTGACCTACTTGGAAATTGTGGCCTGATGCTCTGAGCATTCACTTATTACTGCATGGCTGCAGTAGGTAATCACAACACACTTTTGGCTACATTTTTTAAACAATAATAAAAAAATCTCTACTCGTTTCGATAATGAATCTTAAAACTCATACCATCCTTGATCTCTTTGCACTTGTGCTGTAAGCAGTAAGTGTGTTAAGATAGATATAATGCTATTTTGTAAATTCAGCTCTGCATGGTGGGAGCACTATTTGGACAAAGACAAAAATATTGTGTTAATCTACCCTGAAAGCATGTTCGACTTAAAATTGTGTTTGTGTGTGGTTATTTTGAAGAGCATCTCCAATGACCAAGGGCCTTATTAATTCATAACATTTAGGATTATTATTTTTGTTCAGGATATTATGGTTGTTAACAACAGCTGTTAAAAAGTTGCTAAAAATACATGTGTTGCCACTTGCTCCTCTAAGGCACAAATAGAAAGTTTAGGCTGCAATCCTATACACAATGAGGACTGACTTCTCACTAGTAATGCAGGCATGCTGTTAGTTTCCCAATGAGTGAGTGGAACGCTGAGCATCCAGGTCTGAATTTTTCATTCTTTCAGTAGCCATCTCCAGTGACACACAGTACAATTAAATATAATCAACCGCATTAATAAGCAAGTCAGTCCATATCTGGCTAAATGTTGCTGATCATTTTATGGCCACAACCTGGAAGCTGTCTTGAGTACACAAGCCAGGACACCAAAAATGGTGAACTGGTACCAAGTGTGGTGAATAAGGTTGGATGTGTGTTTTGTTTTTGCAAGTTCTATATCTCAGCAATTGGGAAGTAGGTGGTGACCTTGCAGTTATCACAGTCCTATTAGCATTTTATGATGCTGAGGTTGGTTCCCGGTTCCTTATTCAACAGAGCACTCCATGAATAGCCTAAACTGTTAACTTGACCCAATAACATGCAACATGCATTATAATACACTATATCATACATCTCCATCATCGGGAAACTCTCCTCTTTGAGGTGCATCATCATGTTCTGGGACAAAAAAAAAAGTTGCTTTTGTGCAAAGCAGTTTAATGCACAATGACCTCAGTCTGCAGTTATGAGTAAGGGAACCGTAGCAGTGCACCCTAAAATTGGGCCACCCCAAATATCACATCTGCACCACCAGGGTGACATGCCATAGAGCCCTCAGTGAAGTCCAACTGCTCAGCCCCATTCCTTTGCCTCTTCCTACCAGCTGCCAACAAGGGAAGACTTCCATCGCAGACTGAGGAAGACCCAGCTGCCCTGCTCCACCTGCTTTCCTCAGATATTCTTTGGCTGGAGCTGCTGCCTGGTATGCTACCAGAGAGGAACAGGGGCAAGGGTAGGAAATGTTGCCTGAATAATTATGGCTCCATACAGACACCCTGCAATTGCTATTCCTATGCTAGTTGTGATTGTCTGTTGAGCATCTCCACCGAATGGTGAAGGGTGGGCAAGAAGTCCAATAGAGAAACAAGCTGGAGGGGAAGACCTTGGATGAGAAGATGGAAGATTCAAAATAATTGTGACAGGCTGTAAAACTAGGCCAAAGCCAACATGATAAAAAGTCCTGAAATTAGGTACAGTGCAAGAAATAAAATCCACTAATATAGGGTAGACTGGAGGACTGTCATTCAAGGGAGATAGAGCAGGCTTCTACTCTGTTGTTCCTAGTGGCAGTTCTAGAACCAATGGGTGGAAATTGCACAGAAGAAATTCCAGCAAAAAGATGAGAAACTTCTTGACTAAAGGAGTTGCTCCATGGTGGACCAAACTGCCTCAGCAGGTAGTGGCAGACTTTGTTTTGCTGGAGCAAATGTATCTGAGCAAACTAAAGGCTGGATGGCCATTTCAGCCATGCTGTGGTTGCATCCTGCATTACAGATCATGCACTGAGCATAGGGTTGTTTTAGAGTGGCCTTTCTCAACCTGGGCCCCTGGCTATATTTTCGACCTCAACTCCCAGTGCTGCCTGGGGCTGATGGGAGCTGTGGTCCAGAAGAGCCCCAAGGATGGAAAAGGCTGGACTAGAGGACTTCCAACTCTTTGGGTTCCAATTTGGATAATTAATGGTTTGTGCACTGAAGTCGACAGACTTGGATGCAAGGCATGATACGGCGAAGGCAGCCTTCGAGTTAATAAATCATGATCCCCGCTGAGTTTTAGCCTGATCTCAGCCCGTTTCACATCGGCAAAGGGCGCATGGATTGCGCTGTGAGCCCACCCGCCCCTCTCCAAACCCACCGAGTGATGAAATCCATTCTTCTTTCGACTCTTTGGCGCTGTCCTGAACGCAGCCCTCAAACTTCCCCGCGAGAGGAGGGACCGGTCCTTGTCGCGGGGGGGACGCGCCGGGGCGGGGGGAGAAACAGGAACCTGTTGTGGCGCGTCGCTGGATGTGGGGCAGAGGGTGGGAATCCTGGCCCGGGAAAGGCGCGCCTACTGTAGGTACAGTACGCAGAAGGCGGAAACTGCCCTCCCCGCTCGGAGCGGGAGCGTTTCCCTCCGCGTGATGCGTGTGCAGCTCAGCCTTGCCCGCCCGCCCGCTCGCTGGCTGGCTGGGCTGGCCTTGCGTGGCCTGCTCTACCCGCCTCCCCTCCCTGGGTGTGGAAGCGCGGCTGGGCGGCCAGCCCTCGACCCAAGCCGGCCGGAGACAGCCCTTGCAGCGCTCCCGCCGTTGCCTGCACTTTGGTGCCGGGAGGGGCGGAGAGGCGGCTCTTCCGAGCCTGCTGCTGCTGCTGCTGCTGCTGCGAGACGCGCCTGGAAAGAGAGCGAGAGCGCGAGAGAGGGAGGGAGGGAGACCGCTAAGCTCCTCCTCTCGCTCGCCTTCCCTTCCCTCCAGCAGCTCCAGGAACCAGCTCCAGCAGCAGCAGCAGCAGCAGCCCGCTGGGTGACTGCGAGAGACGGAGCGAGGCGGAAAAACACACCGGGAAGCAAAAGCGGCGAGGAGGAAGGAGGAAGGAAGGGAGGCGTGAGGGGGGGAAGCGGCAGCAGCAGCAGCGGGAGAAGGTGAAGAGGAAAGGACACGCGCGCAAAGAAGGGGGGGAGAGAAGAGCGGAGGGCGCGCGCAGTGGGAGAGGGGGGGGGACCCCAAAAGTTTACACCCTCCGAAGCTGCTCTCTGGTCTCCCACCCACCTCTTCCCTCGGCGGCGCTGCTGGCGCGGATGGGAGTTTCACCTGGAATGACAGAAGTTTCAATTTTATTTTATTTTGGGTGACCCTTCTCCACGGCGTCTGACTTCTCTTGAATAATAATAACAATAAAATAAAAAGAATAAAACCTGCCGGATCCGACGCTCCCTCCCCTTTCTACCTCCAACCCCACGCCCTCCAGCAACGGTCGGCGATGTGACAGCCAGGGGGCAAAGCTTTTTCGCCAGCCTTGCCTTGCGGAGAGAGCTGTCAGCGCGGAGGCTGAGCCGAGCGGACTTCTCGCTGTCGCGGCCCCGGCGCCCCCTCCAAAGAGGCTGGAAGTACGGCGGCTCTCCCCCCCGCTTCGCTGCCGGGTCTTGCGTGTGAGAGCGTTGCAACCTCCTCCTCAGTCTCTCGCAACCCCCCCCCCCGCTCCCAGGATTTAACCCCAAATCTCCTCCGGATCCACCTTCTTCCGTGGCCATTCGTTCCCCATTGGCTGCGCTTCTGGATCGGACTCGCAGAAGTGCAGGGTCTTGCCTCCTCCGGCCATTGCACGACGCGGGGGGTGGCGGAAAAATGAAGGTGAGTACCCGGGGGGGGGTTGGGTGGGGGGCGGGTAGCTCGCCACACTTTGCTTAGAGTCCCAGCGCCTCCAGGGAAGAAAAGAGCTTTCCTTTTTTTAATGGAGGGGAAGAGCTGGAGGTCCAGATGTATTTAGTTCTCAGGATGGTGAGATTTTATTTATTTATTTTGAAAAAGAGCGAAGTAATTGGGAACACCAGTAACTCAGGATCTCCTCTTGGGGAGGGGATGTGCAGAAGAGGCACTTCCAGGACGCTGCCAGTGCTGGCCATACCCAATTTAAAAACTTGGTTGGGGGTTTGGGGGGGGGCATTGCAAGCACTCCGGCCTTGGGAGAGCAATTCGGGAGCTTGCACTAGTTCTTCGGCGCGTTATTAGCTGCAGAAACGGGGATCGATATCTGTCAGAAGGGCTGAAACCCGGAGGGGGCACGTGACTTCTAAAATAGTCTGCCGATATTGTGGAGGTCTGCTGTGCCCTCTCTCTTAGCAAGAAAACAGTCTTTGCAGTTTTAAATATGCACGAAGCCGAGATAGTGTGTGTCCGTGTGTCTGCCTGCGTGTTGGATTTTCGAGTCGCCTTTTGGAGCGGTTTTCTCGCTCGTGGCAGAGGTACTTTTTCCGCGAGTCTCTCTCGCCCAGGGTGCCTGGAATTCCATTAAACTTTATTTCTCAGGGAGTTATTTTGGTCTGGGTATGAAATGGAGAGAAAAGGGATCGAGAAGGGTGTGTGCGCGCAAACCGAGGGGAGGGGGGAGGCGATGTCTGCTGTCGGGAGGAAAGGGGGGGGATCGCTTATACCGCTGCTGTCGACTTCTGGTTTGGGGGGAGGTCAGCATTTGGGGGGGCGGGCGGGCGGAGGTGATCTTGCTTCCTTGACCCCCCGGAAACGTGCGTCATTTCGGCCAGCTTTCCAGACGGAGAAGTGGCGGGGAGGGGGGAGGAAGAGAGAGAGAGAGAAATGTCCGTGCCTTCCTAAAAATATATTTAGAAACTCTGCCCTCAAAGATGGAGCGCGCGGGGGGAAATGCTCCTTAGCCCTCCTTAGGGGGGTCTCTTGTTTTGGGGATCCGGTTGGAGGGCTCCCGGGTATTAGTCCGCGCAACTTTGGTAAATACTGTAAAAAGAAAGAAAATGCCCCGAGCAGGACTTGGCGAAGAAGATACCAGACGCAATGAGGGAACCAGAGGGCAAGTCCTTGAGGCGCTTCGTGGGTTTCTGTGTGTGCGTTTTCCAAAGGGGGGTGGGCGGGTGGAGAGGAAGGAGAGCTGTTTCTTACATCGGCAGCGCTCGTGTTAAAGAAATTTATTTGGGGGGGGGGATGACACAAAAACGTGACCGTTGTTGCTTTTGCGGCTCCTCGCAGGGGGAGGCGGGGGGGGGGAGGGAGAGGCAACGGTTCGGGCGCAGAACGGAAGCGGCCCCCATCGCGCTCACCTTGGTACAGGTGGAGTTAATGTCTCCGAGAGACCTCGGGAGGCGGGGAAAGGAGGCTCGGGAGCCAGCCCCCGATCTGGATATCGCCTCCATTAAAAAGAAAAAGAAAAGGGAGGGGGGAAGGAAGGAGGCGCAGCTTCAGGGCATGGGGGGGGGCGTGTGGATCCAGCTCCAACTCTCGCCTGAATGGATTTCTTCTGTGGGAAGGCTTTGCTAAAAAGCTATTTTCCCTTTCGCTGGCCATATGTTTTGGTGGAGCGCTTTAAACATTATCCGATTAGTTTCTAAGTCTCGCTCTTCCCGACAGCTCCAGCTGCAAAAGGCAGTCGGGAGGGTCAGGGGAAGGGGAAGGAAATTTACAGGTCCCCCCCCCGCCCCACCGCGCAAGCCCCGCCGGGGCGCCTCTCCTAGGTAGGCTCTGCAGCTTTAAGGAGAGCTACATTTTCTAGCTTGTGTCGCAGCAACTTTGTATCAGTCATGTCGCCCGCCAGGTGACTGACAAAAGCTTCCGCCCAATGGGAAGCGCCGTAGACCCTGGAGCCGCGGCTCGGCTCTTCCCGCCGACCAATGGGAGAGAAGGAGGGGAGGAACCCGGTTCTGAACTTTATCTGAGCATGTGACATGTTTTTAAAAGGACTTGGCACCTTCGCACGCGCGCCCCCTCCTCTTCTCCCTCTCTCTGCCCTGAATAGTGTCATTGGGCGACACAACAAATCTCGAGTTGGGAATAACTGTCCGGAGAATAAAGCTGGCTGCTCGTTATTTCCTCCTCCGCGCCGAGACAGCCTTGCATTTCCGACCGTGGAGGTTGACTTTAGGCGGGTGACACTTGCAAGGGGACGTGCGTATTATGCCTACAGGTGGAGGGAAAGTGCAATAGGTGTGCTGGGCGGGGCGGGGCGGGGGGGGGGAGATCGTGACTAGCAGGGAGGAGTGACTGCACCCGTTAAATTATAGCAGTACTGTGTAGCGGGAGAGTTCAGGGACTTCTAATTAGGGAAGGAAAACGTAACTTTTTCAACGTGCATTAGAATTATGCTATATTCGCACGTGGGGACGCAAGTTCTCAATGTTGCGTGTTCTCTCCGGTGTTTCCTGCGCGGGCTGGACGAGCCACAAATGATCGGCCACTCTGTGCAACTTTAAATATTATTTCTGGCAGATACAACCCTGAGGAGATCCTTAGGAGGAAAAGCAGAACCTAAATATCCTGTCTCAAGAGGACGCTTCTGGGTCAGGGAAGACATAAGGGGTCTAAAGTTTTTGTGGGGTTTGGGGTAATTTGTCCACAGGCTGGGTTTGTCTGCGTTGTTTGGATGGGAAACTAGGTTGGGTTAAACTGCATGCTGGGTTTTTAGAGGCTAGGAGAACCGTGTTTGGAGGCTATAGACTAGGCTTTCTGCTGAGTTAAAGGGCTGTGAGCCAGAAAAGCAACCACCAAGCTGAGATACAAAATATAGGATAGCATGCCTTGCAGGAATCGGATAGGGTGTGGAATTTTCAATGTTTCATTGTCGGGGATTGCTACTTCTACAGTAAAATGTGTATTTCTGTATCAAAGCTGATAGTCGCATTTAGGGTTACTCAGCTTTGCTGGTTTCTGTGAAACTCATAGATTTTACTTCAAAGTACTGTAGTTCCAAATGTGACAGCTTGATAAGGGTATTTTAGCTTCAAACTTATGCTAGAAAGGGAACATGCATTAGTTACTGTTTCATCATATTTAAAGTTAACTGCAAGTTTTGTTACAAATGCAAGCCATGATGGAAGGGGCAGCAATTTCAGACCCTGTGATGTATAGCTTATTACTTTAGACAGTTATAGAATATATTTCTTTTTTGGGGGGGGGAGATGGAAAGAAGAAGCAATAATTGAGTGTGAGATTTTATATCAATTTATACTGCTCGTGGTTGTTGTAAAATGAGGGAAGCCTGCTTCAGTTTTATAAATAAAAGCATAATCTCCATATAAAATATTTTGAAGTGAAGTGTATCTAATTTTCCAATTCAGTTCTGACATAATGATGGACACCAAAAGCCAGCTTTCATAAAATGCTTTCTGTGTGTGCCTTAGCTGCCCCAACATACATATGGTATGTGCAAAGACCACCCATCTAGAAGACAAGATGGACACTGGAGGTGAAGTGGTAACTCAGGTGTGCAGGGATTTGGGCTGTTGAGGAAATAGCACAAGAACCTTGAATTGCAGAAAGCAACAGGGAGTAGGCGCAAATTTCCTTGTAGTGCCGTGAACAGTGTTGACTTAAGATCATGGTTAGCAATAAAGCTCTGGGTGGCCTATGGACAAGTCATTCTTGGCCCACTTGTTAGATGTGTTCATAGGTAAAGTTAAATAATGTTATGCCCCAAGCTCCATGGAGAAATGCTGTTTGCTAGTGTCACCTTTGGAAGAGGTGGGCTTCAGTATTCTATACTAGTGGAAGCTTCCAAGTTGACATAATAGATCATCTAACAGACTTTCAGCTTTGAGGTTATGAATGCATAAACAACAGTTGCCAGGTCACCAGATGAATGTGTTGAAAAATCTTTAGGCTGTTCCAGATATCTAAGATTTTAGGTACTAGGAGCCTCTGTCCTCCAAAGTTATCAGGCTTGCACAATACCTTCGTCTAGGGTGTGAGAAAGATACAGGAGTAGCTTAATGTCTTTGCTTGTGTGATCTGGTAACACATATATCTTATCACAGTCAACAGTGAAAAGGGCACAGAGAAATCAGCAGGGTAAAAATGCTCAGACAATCTTTAGGTGAACCTTACTGACCAACAGCAGAAGCAGATTCTCAGTTTCAAGTCCATACTGGGGAGAAGGACATAGAAATCCAGTAGTGGATTTGCTTGTTCTCTTACTTAAAAGTTACTTGTACTCCCTATGAAAAGTTTGTTTTCATTTTCAGGGTTTTTGGGTTATTTTTTTAAGAAAATAGTAAACAAATTAACAGTTTTAAGTCAAGTTTAGTTCATTTTTTAAAAATATGCAATTTATATTTAACTCTAGGAGGAAGTTGAATGAAGTGATGCACATTTGATAGATACATGCCATGATTTGCTACACGTGGCTTCATGTGAGTTAAGCAATGTTATAAATATTTTATGGCTATGACGTTATGCATGAATTTGTCACTTTGCTCTGTAAGATTTCACAAGTGTGTCTTCCTTACAAACCAGTCTCTGTGTATTTAGGCTAGCATGACCTTTTATCTCTTATTTACTTACAGAAATTAGAATGATAGGCTTGTCAGATTTAAGTCACCATGACTTTATTCATACCTGTTTTTTTTCCAAGTTCTAACTAGTCTACACAAAAGTATATCTATTACTTCAGTACAGAGGGCAATATGAAGGGAGAAAACTAAGGACTAAGTCACTGAAACTGTAGATTATCAACAGTTTGACAAGGGCAAGTAAACAGATGACAAAGTAACGCTTAAATAAGGAGGCATAATGTTTGCATGCATTCTGCAAACAGATCACCTGAACATCTTTCAGTGCATGTATTTTGAATAACTAAATAAT